TGACCTCTACCCATTGGGCTGTTTTAGGTGCTGGCTGTTAGTTTCTGGTGCTTCCTGGAATCCTGAGGTAGGGAGAATCCCCTTGACAGGAAGATGATTTTTTCCTGAAGAAGGTCTCCTCTGCTTTTTGGTTATGGGCACTGAATGGCCAGTGTTTCTCAGGAATTGCCACTGCTCACCTCAGGCGTAGAGACCTGAGTAGCAGCTGTGGTCTTTGTTAGTCAGAGGGGCTCTCCTCTCACCCGTAGAAGTCCTCAAGACAGCTGCCCCGCTTCTGGGTATCTCGTTCTGAATTTAGTGATCTGCTGCTGTTGTTACACTGTTTTCCAGGTACAGCCCTTTTGAAGAACCTGATGATTCCCTACTGTGGGATTTTCTCCCAAAAGGGAAACTCAGTCTGGTACCTTGGAGCACACAGTTCTGTCTGGGAAGGTGAGGGGAGCGTCCAGCAAGTCTCTGGGCCAGAGGCTGAGTGCTCTGCTCTGGGCTGGGAGACTGTGCACCCACGTTTGAGATGGCGGTTGGGGGCGCCGCTCTGGTCTGGAGGCTGTGCGCTCCTCTCTAGGCTGGCAACTGAGGGCTCCACTCTGGTCTGGAGGCTGGGCACCTTACTCTGGGCTAGAAGCTGTGTGTTCCTGTCTGAAATGGCAACTGCGGGCGCTGCTCTGGTTCTGAGGCTCCGCGCTCTGATCTGGGCTGACAGTGTGTGTCCCCTTCTGGGCCAGAGGCTGTGCACGCCTCTCTGGGCTGGCAACTAAGGGCTCTGCTCTGCTCTGGGTTGGAGGCTTGGCGCCTCACTCTGGGCTAGGGGCTGTGTCCCCCCCCCCCCCCCCCCCATCTGAGATGGTGGCTGGGGTTGCCGATCTGGGCCCGAGGCTGTGCGCTCAGCTTTGGGCCAAAGGCTATGTACTCTGCTCTGGGTCAGCAATTGAGATCTCCACTCTGGTCCGGAGGCGCTCCAGAACCTTTACCAGGTATTGACTGGGTGACCTGAGGTCGGTCCCAATTAATTTCCACACCGTAGGCTTTTCTCTTACCTGGCAATCACAAACTTACCTGGTGTTTTAGGTCCCTGAGTTCAGTCTCCTGGTCGCTGTGCCAACACTGCTGTCCTGCTCCTCAAGACACAGTGTCCTCCCGCCGCCATCTTGTCGCTCTCTTCCGACTAGGAAGTTTTATAAATGTTGCTCTATATCATGAGGACATCTTAAGGTTGACAGTTTAATATTATGATTTTTTTTGAGAGCAGAAAAAAATGAGAAAGGATATTTTATTTTTAAGAGTTGGAAAGTACAGTTTTAGACATAATTAAATCAAATAGATGGGAGAGCAGAGAGAAACAGACATGACTTTGAGAAAAGAGAGATAGGGAATCACTTTTTATTTTACTGATCTCTGTTAGTGTTACTGGATAATATTAGATATTTGAGTACGGCGAATATAGGTGTAGAAGTCAGAGGTTTTGAAAAGGGGAGAGACTATGAATAAACTGTTTCTGTGAATGACAAAGGGAACTGGAATGGACCATGTGGCTAGTGGTTCATTAACTAAATAGAACAGCAGGCTTAGCCCAATTAAGCTCAAGAAACTCTGTGCCTGGCACCTGGGCTCTAGCAGCAGTAAGCCGAGTTCTCATAGAAGGTATCTCAGCCACAGGAAAGTTTGGAAAGGGAGCAGTGACTCAGAAGAAACTGCAGTTTTGCAGTTCTGAAAACAGTGGGATGGAAACATGGCTCTGCCCTCTCTACCCCCAGATCAACATGGCAGTTTGCCACGTATTGTGCGAAGCCGAGACAGCACGGCAGGACCAGGGTCTCTAGACCCGGGGTATTTGCTGGCCACATGGCTGTTCTGGTCTAATGGTGTTAGAGATTGTCTGTGCATGGCGTGGCCGAGCGGGTGCAATTTAAAAACCCTCCTCCACGTGTGAGTGCACGGGTGCACTGGGCATGCGGCAGGGAGTTTAAAAACCTTGTCCTTGGGGCCTGAGGGGCGTCGCAACTTAAAGCTGCCTGAGGCAATGCGGTGGGTCCGAGGCCTTGGTGGCCTGAGATGCTTACCTAACAGTGAAGCCTGGCCGAGGGATGGTTTAGAAGCAGGCTCTGAGGAAGTCTGCAGCGGTAGTTCCAGTGGCTGCTGGCAGGGGTAGGCAGGCAGGAACAGGTTAAGCGACAGTGAAAGGCAGAGCAGAGATGACTGTAGTTGGCAGCTGCAAGTGGAGGTCCTGGTAGCAGGAGTGAAAAGGAAGTGTTTTGTGCAGCTGAGAGAGAGGAGAGAGGAGAGAGAGAGAGAGAGAGAGAGAGAGAGAGAGAGAGAGAGAGAGAATGGGGTTCCAGAGTGAAAACAAAGGAGTTGCCCACCTAGTCATTTCGACACCAATGTTATGATATCTTTAAAAATGCCACACATACAACAGATCTGCTATGAAAGAGGTTTACTTGGGAGAAGAGAAGAGGAAGGGATTTAGGGCCCGAGTGGGCCATGTGGGTAAAGAGAGAAAGAGACAGTGAGACTGAAGCAGCGATGGCAAAAGAGACGAGATGGTGGATTGGTCCTTCTATATCTGTGTGCAGCTGAACTGCATCTGCCACACACCTGATGGGTGGCAAATGATGACCTCATAGGTTACTAGGCAACCCAGAAGCAGGCTGCCTATATATATGCTGCCACAGATGGCTTATACCATGTGGTCATCTTAATTAAGACGTGGCATGGACCCATTTTAACCACAGTATAGGTGGGTGCCAGTCACATAGTTGCTTCCATTCTGATGAGGTCATTAGCCAAGATGGAGGCAAGTCACATGGCTGCTGTTTAAAAACATCTATTTTCTTAAACAAGAGTTGATTTCAAGTTCTATATACAGCAAGTAGATTTATTTTTCTAAGTAACAGGCCATAATAGGAGAGAGAGTGGGGAAAGCAAAAGAGATTCTGAAGTGTGGAAATTAGAGAGTTTTGGGATTGTGGTGCAGAGAAAGTTTAGATATAAGAGATTCTGGGATCATCTGTGTGTGCAGGGGCAGAAATTATACCATATAAGAGCATTTTAAAATTGACTATGTCAATTTTTGGCCATTGATTGTGTGTATTGGGGCCAAACTGTTTTCAGTGAGGCAGTGAGGCTTTCATAAAATCTTTGTGTCCAAGGAGGAAAAAAGAGTCACAAAACAAATTGCTGGAGGGAGGCTTTCTACAAGCTCCAAGATAAAGCAGAGAGACAGAACGGTGCAGCTGTGAAGAACAAGGATCACATAGAGGATCCTCACCCAAGGGAGGATTCCAAAACTGTAGAAGCCCAGAAGGGCTTAAGGAAGCTGTAGGATTGCAGCTTCTAGGGGGAGGCAAGGAAGCTCCAGGAAGGAGCTGAGAACAAAGGGAGCAGAAGGGATAAACCAGAATTTCAACCCTAAGTATCCCTGAATAGACTGAGAAACACCTGAGAGAGGAGTGTCCCAAATCACACAGGATATACCTTCCATGTGACAGAGGACCAGCAGAGCAAGAGGAGGGTCCTGGCACATGGGTGTAATTTTTGTAGTAATAGTAGACAAAGCAGGCAGCTCCAGAGTGACACTTATCCAGTAGAGGAGGAGAGGAAAAAGCAGCTGAAGAGGTGGACTGAGAGAAGCTTATGGGAAGAAGATGGGGGAAGGAGATGTCCAATAGAGGGAGATGGGTAAGTGTCTTAGATAGTTGTCTATGTGATATGGTCCCAGAGGGTGAAGAAGGTTTGGGTGAGTGCTCCAGAGGGCACAGAAGCTCCAGAAGCCAGAGAGAGAGAGAGAGAGAAAGAGAGAGGACACTTACCCAGTGAGTGAGGAAAGCAGGAATAGGGAAGAAGCAGCTGAAAAAGTGGACTCCAGACTTTGGAGTCAAACATGGTGGGTGGCAGAAGCCAGCAGAAACAAACAATTCAGACATAACTTAGCACAGTCAAATCAGCAGTTTGCTTCAGAGAGGCCAAGTCCCTTGGAAGGGAGCTCATTACTTCCACTCCTATGTTTTCAGTGCCAGATGACTGTTCCATGGTATGGTTGCAGATGTGAGGGGGAGGACAACCAGAGGCATCTGGAAGAGTCGAAACTGAGCATGGCCAACAGACTAAAACAGGCCATAATAGGAGAGAGAGTGAGGAGAACAAGAGAGAAGAGACAAGGCAAAGGGAACATCTGGGAACCAAGAGCGTCAAGAGGCCAAGAGACAGCATGTCCAGAATGGCTGACTTTATATAGGGATCGGAAGCTGGAGTGGGGTGGGGTGGGGATGGAACCAGAAGCTTTATCCCCAGGAGGAAGAGATTTAGGGTAGTGTGCAAGGTGAGAACTGCTGGGAGGAGCCGTGGGTATTGAGTGAAACTTACACAAGGTTTCTTTGAGACTTAACCCTCTGTCCTTGTTCACCCTCCTACCATCTTAGCATATACTTACAATGGAAATTCATAGTATGAATGGACCTGAAGCAGGTCAGGTAGCAAAGGCCAAGAATGTGTCATTCTTCATTTATATCAATTTAGCTTATGATTCTTTTCATTAACTTTATTAACCAAAGGATGCTGAACACTCCCTTTCACTGATTAGGAGAGTGAAAAATACCTAACTTCTGAGTGTGGAAAGTTATATATTCTGTAAAGGACTGCATATTGTATAACAGGTTAACTCTGGTTTATTTTTCAGAGTGTTTTCAGATCAATGTCCACAGGTAATCATGGACATGTAGTGCACAGACAAGTATCTCACAGAGTAGATCTTTAACAGATTCATTACAGAAAGCAAGTCAGCAGAATGTCCCTCTTGGTGACTTCAAAGGAAGTAGCTGCTCTACCTAATACCTAACTCATTAGGGGATAGCTTTTCTGTGGCCTCAATGGAGAACGGAAGAAGGATGTATTAAGAAGGGGTCAGGATCTACTTTATAGTGAAACAGAACTTATTAAATCCTTTGGACTCACCTTAGGAGCAATTTTTTTTTGCCTTCCTTTGAACATAGTCATTGTTCTAGATGGCTTTTCAGGACCTCCTGAATCAAGTAGGCAGCCTGGGGAGATTCCAGATCCTTCAGATGACTTTCATTTTCATCTGCAATATCATGATGAGTCCTCATTCTTTTCTGGAGAACTTCACTGCAGCCATTCCCAGTCATCGCTGCTGGGTCCCCATCCTTGACAATGAGACTGTCTCTGATAATGACAGCGGGACCCTGAGCCAAGATGACCTCCTGAGGGTCTCCATCCCACTGGACTCCAACCTCAGACCAGACAAGTGTCGTCGCTTTGTTCAACCACAGTGGCATCTTCTTCATCTGAATGGCACCTTCTCCAGTGTGAAAGAGCCAGACACAGAGCCCTGTGTGGATGGCTGGGTGTATGACCAAAGCACCTTCTTCTCTACCATTGTGACTGAAGTAAGTGGCTTCAGTTCCTGTCATTAGTTCATGATGGGTGTTTAGCAATAGCATGAATAGTGCACATGCTTTGAGCTTAGATTTTATGTTTTAGCCAATATTGATTACTTACCTATTAAATGTGAGACACTTATTCAATAAGTCTAATAACTACAAAAATTACAGAAAGGGATAGGAACTTATTCTTCTAATTATTTCACTCTAGGGGATGACCACAGTTTAAAATGTGTCAAATCAGTTTAAGCAAATAGTTTATGTGTGCTTTTAAAAAAATTACAAGTCAGTATTTATTTCTCAGCTTTGATTTAAAATAAGAAATATCTAGGAGATTTAACAAAAACATAGTGGGTTGTCTGGGAGTATGGCTCACAGGTAGAATGCTTGTGTTTCATGTATGAGCCCGGATTCAATCCCTAGCACTCCAAAGTGTCTTAATACTTTACCTTCTGTGATAGGATAGAATGAGGCTGTGTACAAGGCCTTGGGCTCCAATTTCAGTATTGTCAACCTATCTATCTATCTATCTATCTGTCTGTCTGTCTGTCTGTCTATCTATCTGTCTGTCTGTCTAATAAAGTCAGTGCAGAAGCCCTACTTCCAAAATGATATGAGAAGCTGTGCTTAGGTGTGGAATCCAGTACATTTTTTAAGGCTCTCAATTTATTGCAGTATATGGCCAGGTTTGAGAATTTCTTAGCATGGACCACAAGTCAGTAGTGCAGCCTAAAGAACTAGGCCCTATGGGAAGATTCCTGGAACCAGGTATGTTTAAGCTGGGACCAGGATGGTAGAAGACAGGTGGTGCTGAAATGGGAAAGGAGTTCAGAAAGCTGCTAGAAGGAGACCTGAGGTCATGTTGAAGCATTTTAATATAGTCTGACACTGACAGGCTATAACCCTTACTTTTCTGGTTTCCATATCTTTCAGTGGGACCTGGTATGTGAATCTCAGTCACTGGATTCAATAGCTAAGTTTCTGTTCTTGAGTGGTATGTTAGTAGGAAATGTCCTATTTGGTCACTTAACAGACAGGTGAGTGTCTCTGGATCATGACTCCATGTGTGAGTACTTTAGTCACCTTTGATTCATTCATTCATTGTGAAGTAGCCACTGAAAATTGTACTATTCTAGATGTAGAAGAATCCCAGGGATACACAAACACAAATGGAGATTTAAGTTAGTGTTTTAACGCATTGTTTTTGTTCTATTTGAATGTTCAGAAATAGAAAACAGCATTGACACTTTTGCCAAGGGTACTGTGCTTTCTCCTTCCTGGACACTGCACTGAATAGCTGTAGAACACAGAGAAGGGACATCATGTCTTCATGGCTATAGCTATGTCTGTCACTTTAATTTTTGCTTCTGCCAAAGATGATTTTTTTTTCTTGCCTTAGGTTTATTTGTAAAAACAGCATAGGACACTGGTCATCTGTAAATAGTGTGTAGGTGGGTGTGCCACACCAGTCTGTCTGTCTTCACATTAGCAGAACCCTTTCCTACAGGGCCTTCACAAGGGCCTGGGCACCTTTGGGAGCCTGAGCTGGAGCTGAAGCTGAAGCCTTGCCCTTAGCTGGAGCGGTGGCCTCTGCCTTGGTTTGAACCTTGGGCTTTGGTTTGCAGAGCCTACGACCCTTAGCCATGTAGCTTCGAATCCGCTTCCCAAGCTTGGGGTGAGCGATGAAAGCCAGACGGCTGAGTTTGTGGCTGGAGCCCTTTGGCATCTTGGGTTTAACAGCTGCAGGCTTTACAAGGGCCCTGATGGCCTCTGTTTGCGCACTCACTTCTTTTGCATTGTTTGCTTGCATCGTCTTCAGGCCTTTCTTGTTGTGCTTCTTGGCAAAGCTCATGTTCCTCAAGAATTTGGGATCCACCCCCTTAAGAGATTTGTATCTTTGTGACCAGGGTTTCTTGATGCCATTTCTGTGCCATTTGCGGGACTGGTTGTGTGTGGTGTGGTTCTTGGACTTGGCCATGTCTGCACAGTAACCCGCGGCTCCCGCAGCGTCTGGGACCTGAAGAGAAAGAAAGGCCTGCTGCCAAAGATGATTTTTAAAGCTCATCCTTTCAGGCTATGAAACAACTCATCTAATGACTAATGTCATCCCAGCCTTTTCCTGTAGCAGAGGTGGCTCACCTAGGCTCTCAGGTAGTACAGAGTACCCAAGGCTCCTTTGTGCCTCTTTTGTTTTAACTTTAAACATTTAGTATCACTGTGTATATATGCACATGATGTGTGTGTGTGTGTGTGTGTGAGAGAGAGAGAGAGAGAGAGAGAGAGAGAGAGAGAGAAAGAGAGAGAGGGAGAGAGAGAGAGGGAGAGAGAGAGAGAGAGTGAGCACATGTGCCATGACTCACAATGTGGAGATTAGAGGACAAATTTATAAAGTCAGTCCTCTCCTTTCAACTTTGCATGGCAGCTGGAGAGCTTATTGAGCTTACCAGTCTTTAGCCACTGGCTCTATACCTCTTTTATAGGGCCACTAATTCCATTCATAAGGGCTCCACTCTCATATTTTTAAAAAGGAATATCTTTTAATTGCTCTTTGACAATTTCACATTTGTCAGCATATATATATATATATGCTTTATATCTTTATATCTAGATATCTTTATATCTACCCCAACTGTCCCCTCCCCCAGTCTCTTTCAGGCACCCCAACACATCCCTCTCTCCCTTCATATAGTCTCCTTAAAAGAAGTCATCATAGGTTAGGTGCTACTATGACTTTTTTTTTACTGTGGTGTTTAGCCTGTATGCATGTTTGTGTTCCATGTGTGTGGCTGGTGCCAGTGGAGGCCAGTAGATGGTGTTGGATAGTGTTAAATAGTCTCAAACTGGAGTTACAGATGGATGTGAGCTGCCATGTGGCTGTTGAAAAGAGAACATGGGCCCTCTGGAAGAATAGCAGTGCTCTAACCACTGAGCAATCTCCCCAGACCCTTGCTGTGATATTTCAAACAAAGTGTGTTGTTGTGGTTCTTCTTCCTCCACATCCCCTCCTGTGGTTTTTATCCCCTCCCTGTTGCTGCTCCCAAGATTCTCTTCCCCCTCATGTCCCATTGTCTTTTCCCCACGCTCATCCTTCCCTATGACCTGGTATTTGACCTTTATTCTGGATTTTTCAGCTTTTACTCACATTTATACCTGTTTACATATATGCATTATAGGATATTATCCTCATATATGGGAGAACATGAAGTTTGTTCTTTCTGGGATTGGGCAGCCTCCTTTAATATCATACTTTTTTGATCTATTCATTTCCTGAAAATCTCATGATTGCTTTACAGCTGAGGGATATTCCATTGTGTGCATGTACTGCATTTTCATTATTGGTTCATCTCTTGGGGGACATCTAGGCTGGTTCTATGTCCTTGCTATCACAAATATAGCAACAATAAAAATGATGAGCAAGTGACTTTGTGGCGGGATGTGGAGTCTTTTGGGTGTATGCCCAGGAGTTATATAGATAAGTCATATAGTAATTTAAATGTTAATTTTCTGAGGAGCCTCCCAGCCAATTTTCATACTGGTTGTACTAATTTTCACCACAACTGGCAGTGAATAAATGTTTCCCTTCCCCACATCACCTTCAACATTTGTTTTCAGATTTCCTGATGGTAGCCATTCTGCTTATAGTGTTTCCTCTCACAGTTAACAAAACCTGAAAGGTCCCTCTAGTACTATCAGACCAGGTAGTCATTTTCCATGTATGGATCCCGGAGGCACAGCAGACTGTAGCAAGTTTGTAACCTGCTGCAAGCAAGTAATTTTGGTTAGAAGTAACGTTCACTCATATATCTTGAGTCTTTGCTTTTTTGTTAATTACTGAGAGAAACATTAAAATTTCTCACTCCATTAAGCTATTTTTTCTTTAGCTTTGTGCTTTTGTTCTGTGTATTTGAAAAGACTGTTTATGTAAGTATAAATTTGAGATTCAGCATTATAATGTGTGCGTTGTTTTCTCAATGAAGACTCATTAAATATTTTTTCAGTTTTGTTACTTGTGGGTTGTTTTATTTTAAAGAAGGCATCTCACTGTGTAACACATGCTGGCCACAAACTCTCTGTATATTCCAGGGTGGTCTTGAAATCATAATCCACATGCCTCACCTTCCCATGACTTAGAATTATTAGGGTTAAAACAGTGTTCCCAATACCAGGAACACTGAGGAAGATGAACAAGAAGTCTGGCAGTTGGGTATGAGGTAACCAGACAAGAAGCAGGAGAAGGGTCAGGGAAAACAACAAAGCTGGTTTCAACAAGTTCTTGCTGGTTCCCACAGAGCTTTCTTCTGAAGAACATGCAAGAAGAACCTTTGCCTTTACTTAGTGCATTGTCAACTTTGTGAGGGCTTCTACCTTTATACATATTTGTACACGTAATTGTAAAAGACTGGATTGTAGGTAAGGGCAGCTTCTAAGAAAGCATCTTCCATGACAGGAAGGAAGATACCTAAAGACCACCCCAGGGGAGGAAAAGGAGAAGGCACAGGATAAATCAAGACCACTAAGTTCAGATACTGGAGGCTGACTTTCACAGTGCTGCCTGGCTTTCCACTTAGAAGAGCTATTTCTGCTTTTCTGAACTATCCTCAAGATAAACTTTGGTTTCTTATTCTACCTGGATGTAGTGTGAATTACTCTCCCTTAGAAGGCAACAACTGGCTTCTTCAAGATCTAGCTATACCACTCCTACACATATATCCAAAATATGCTTAAGTACACAAGGAAATTTGCTCAACCATGTTCAGAGCAGCTTTATTTGTAGTAGCTAGAATCTGGAAACAACCCAGATGTCCCTCAGTTGAGGAATGGATACAGAAATATTGGTACATTTACATAGTGGAATACTACTCAGCAATTAAAAACAAGGAAATAATGAAATTTGCAGGCAAATGGTGGGAACTAGAAAAGATAATCCTGAGTGAGGAATCCTAGAAGCAGAAAGACACACATGGTATATACTCACTTATAAGTGGATATTAGACATATAATAAAGGATAAACATAATAAAACCTTACACCCAAAGAAGCTAAGCAAGAAGAAGGACCCTGGGTAAGACCATCAATCTTCATTCAGAAAGGCAAATGGGATGGACATCAGAAGAGGGAGAAAACAGGGGACAGGACAGGAGCCTACCACAGAGGGCCTCTGAAAGACTCCACCCAGCAGGGTATCAAAGCAGATGCTGAGACTCATAGCCAAACTTTGGGCAGAGTGCAGGGAATTTTATGAAAGAAGTGATAGATAGAAAGACCTGGAGGGGACAGGCACTCCACAAAGAGAGCAACAGAACCAAGAAATCTGGGCCCAGGGGTCCTTTCTGAGACTGATACTCCAACCAAGGACCATTCATGGAGATAATCTAGAACCCCTGCACAGATGTAGCCCATGGCAGCTCAGTGTCCAAGTGGGTACCCTAGTAATGGGGACAGGGACTGTCTCTGACATGAACTGATTGCCCTGCTCTTTGATCACCTCCCTCTGAGGGGGGAGCAACCTTACCAGGCCACAGAGGAGGACACTGCAGCCAGTCCTCATACGACCTGATAGACTACGGTCAGATGGAAGGGGAGGAGGACCTCCCCTATCAGTGGACTGGGGGAGGGGCATGGGTGGAGAAGAGGGAGGGAGGATGGGATTGGGAGGGGAAGAGGAAGGGAACTACAGGTGGGATACAAAGTGAATAAACTGTAATTAATAAAAATAAAAGTAAAATATAAAAAAAGTAAAAAAAAAAGAAGAATCACTGGATAGTTCCAAAGTTAGTCAAAGAAAATGCTCCTGAACAGAACTGCATTCATACTAATAGTTGGCCTAGCAAGTACAGAGTGATAAAAAAAGAATTATAAGTCTGTTGTACAGATGTGCATAAAATATAATGCATAATTAATGTCACAATGTAAATATGCTATTGAGAGTAGCAGATACCACAGAGTGGTTCACCACTTTTACTCACTTATGTTAAATCAGTGCATATGCCTTCATTCAACTGGGCAGAAAGAATTCCTCTTCTAGTTGACAATAATACTCTGAATTCTCACTTTTTGTGCTTTTCTATTTTGATAAAAATCTGTTTGGTAAAATTTTTCATTTGAAAAAAAAAACCTGGTCATAGCAATGAAATGTTATTAATACATGTTAAATGAATAATTTGATAAGAGGTATTTATGTTAAAACTCCAATGTTCTACACAAGTCTTGTGGCTTGAATTAGAAGCAAAAATAGTAGAAACAAATTGGAGAAGATGCTTTAGTTCATAATGTTTACAAACACAGGAAGTTGCTTTGCAGGCTATACATTATTGGTTATTTCTTAATTATTATTTTAAAGTGTCTTCAGTTTGTGTGCCAATTGCATTGTTCCCATAATTTAACCCTTCCTTTCCCTCAGGTTTGGGAGGAGGTTGATGTTCATATGTGCTTTACTGCAAATGGTCATCACCGAAACCTGTGCAGCATTTGCTCCCACCTTCCTTGTCTATTGCTTGTTACGCTTCCTGGCAGGGATCTCTTCCACAACCATTTTGACAAATAGCGGCTTGCTCAGTAAGTCAAAGCTTTTGATGGACATTTTCCAAGCTTTGGTTTTGACCTCGATGTCCCTTCCACCTTAATTGGAAGTCAAGATTCATTTTCTTTTCTTTCAGTGATAGAATGGACAAGACCTAAATTCCAAGCCATGGCAACTACACTGTTATTATGTGCTGGGGCGATTGGACAGATACTATTGGCAGGCCTGGCTTTTGCTGTTCGAAACTGGCACCACCTCCATCTGGCTGTATCTGTACCAATGATTTTTTTACTTGTACCCTCAAGGTATGAACTTCCTTTCTTTTCTTTCTTATGGAATCCTGGGATGACAATGTACCTGGAATCAGGACAAAGAAATGCATTAATCCTGAGTCCACACCTGACAGTGTATGATCCCCTTCGTATTTTGTGATATGAGGACAAGCAGGACTCTCAGATGAACCAAGGAGACTGAATTAAACTTGAATTTGAAATCATAAGTATTTTTATAAAATTATATACATGTGTGACAAGAGATATATTGAGGACTCATTAACTTAAGATTCTAATTGTGAGTTCTGATTTTTATTAATAAATGGATAAAAGATATCCCATCATATTTATACTATGGATAAATAACAAATCATTTCTGATGAAGTGTATTCAATACATACATATTAATCACTATCATATATGATATACTTATATGCACTATTTGATATTTAAATTTTATTATTTACAAAGTAATTTTATTTACTAGGAAAAAACTACCCTAAAAAAGAGAGTAAATGAATTCAAGAACCAGAATGTTCTTGCTCTTTCTGTGTGTCTTTGCTACCAAGCTTTACTTATCCAGGTTATAATAGAATTTTTGCAAAAAATTCCCTTTCATACAGGACAATCTTTAAAGACTACATAGTCTCTAACTGTAGTTTGTGTTTTTATGTGTGGCTTTAAAAAGAAAAACATTTGGAAACTTTTGTGAATTTATCTTTGCAGGTGATATGGATAAAAGACAAGAAGTAAATTAATCCCCACTATTTAATGAAGGAGGAACATACATGGTTTTTTAGTTTAAAACTGTAGGGAGGGGCCTGGAGAGATGGTTCGGTGGTTAAGAGTTCTGATGCTCTTTCAGAGGACCCACGTTTGATACTCAGCACCCACATAGTGGTTCACAGCCACTTAAACTTCAGGTCCAGGGAACCCAATGCTATCTTCTGGCTCGCAAGGGCATCAGACATGCCTGCCGTGCACAGAAATACATGTAGGCAAAACACCCTTTCACTTAAAGGTAGAATAAATAAAAATAAAATCTTAAAAGAGCAGCTGTAGGAAGAATGGCCCACTTATTTATTCTTTATGCCCTTTTTCTTTCCTTTTCATATTTTTATTTTTATTTCAAATTTTTATTTAACAAATTTTAAGCTGCACAGACTCTCACTGTGCAGTTCTGTCTGTCCTGGGACTTGCTATGCACACCAGCCTGGCCTTGAATTCACAGAGAACCTCATGTGTCTGCCCACCTAGTGCTAGTACTAAAGGTGTCCGCTATCAAATAGGGCTCATTGTTACTTTTTGGTTTGAAAGTTTAAAATTTTTACTAGGTATTCAAATAGAATGGATGTGTCTCAAGTTTTCAGAAAATTAATTTATCCTTTGAAGTTTTCATATATACATGAACACAACGTATCTTGATCACATCTATTACTTACATCCCTTTCATCTCCCACAAGGCCCTCCATCACTTCTTCCCAACTTTGCATACTATTTATTTACTTACATATTTTTCCCTGTGAGTCCAATGAGCACTATCCATGTGCTCTTGTGTGTAGGGTTATTCATTGGGTTATGGGGAACCAATCAGGGACCACACTCTTAAAGTGACTCTCTGTCTCTCAATAGCCATCAGCTGCCAATAACTCCTCAGCTAGGGGTGGAATCTGGGGTTCCCATTCCCCTTACAGCTAGAATTTTTAATTGCCTTGATCTTGTGTGCTGTGAGCTCATGTCTATAGCAGCCATGCCATACTGAGAGAACAGAATTTCACAGCACTTCTTTCTGGCTTCCAGCTCTTACATTCTTTCCATCCCCTCTTTCACTACATTCCTGAACTCTGGGTGAGGTGTGTCGGTGTAGACATCCCATCTGTGGCTGAGCTCTCAGTCACTTTCTCTCAGCACTGTAACAGTTATGATGCCCTGCTTTAACCACTACCCTCTGCAATAAGAAGTTTTTCTAACTCAGGTTGAGAGCAGCACAAATCTATGGCTATAAATGTAAGGGTGTTTGACACTCTGACTGCCTAGTAAAATAGCACCAATACTAGCTTCACAAAAAGAGTTTGGGAAATGTTCCTTTTTTGAAAAACAATTTTACAGAATAATTTGAGAAATATTGGTGTTAGTTCTTTAAAATTTGATGGGAACTGTAGTTAATCTGTAGATTGCTTTTAGCAGGATGGCCATTTTTATTATGTTGATCCTATATGACTCTGGGAGAGCTTTCCATCTTCTGGTATTTTCTTAGATTTCTTTCTTCAAAACTTGAAGTTTTTGTCATACAAATCTTTTACTTGCTCGGTTGAATTTTAGGAAGTCTCTAATTTCTTTTTTCATTTCTTCCCTTACCAAGTTGTCATTGAGTAGAGAGTTGTTTAATTTCCACGTGTATGTAGGCTATTTGTTATTTCTGTTGTTGTTGCGGTCTAGTTTTAAGCCATTGTGGTATGGTAAGATACAAGGGATCATTTCTGTCTTCTTGTATCTGTTGAGGCTTGCTTTGTGCCCAACTATATGGTCAATTTTTGAGAAGGTTCCATGAGGTGCTGAAAAGAAGGTATACTCTTTTGAGTTTGAGTGAGAAGTTCTGCAGACAGTTATTAGGTCCATTTGATTTAGGACCTCTGTAAGAGTCACTATTTCCCTACTTAGCTTCTGTCCAAATGATCTGTCTCTTGGTGAGAGTGGAGTGTTGAAATCTCCCACTATTAAGGTATTGGGATCGATGTGTGATCTATGCTTTAATAATATTTTATTTAGGAATGCAGGTGCTCTTGTAGTTGGGGCAAAGATGTTCAGGATTGTGATGTCCTCTCGGTGGATTTTTCCTTTGATGAGAATGAAATGCCCCTCATCTTCTTTTTTGATTAATTTTGGTTGAAAGTCTATTTTATTAGATATTGGGACAGCTACCCCAGCTTGTTTTCCAGGTCCATTTTCTTGAAAAACATTTTCCAGCCTTTTACTTGGAAGTATTGTTTATCTTTGTTGCAGGGGTGTGTTTCTTGGATGCAGCAGAATGTTGGATCCTGTTTCTGCAACCATTCTGTTAGTCTGTGTCTTTTTATTGGTGAGTTGAGTCCGTTGATGTTGATAGATAATAGTGACCAATGAATGTTAGTTCTTTTTATTGTGGAGTTGGTGGTTGTTTCTATGCTTGTTTCTTTTAATTTTTTTTTGTTTTGATGTTATCCATATCCTATGTTTTCCAGGGTGTATTCATTTTCATTGGATTGGAGTTTTTTCTTCTAGTATCTTCTGTAGAGCTGGGTTGCTGTGTACATATTGTTCAAGTTTAGTTTTGTCATGGAATATTTTGTTTTCTCCATTTATGTTGATTGAAAGCTTTGCTGGGTATAGTAGTCTGTGTTGGCATCTGTGGTCCCTTAGAGTCTGCATGACATCTGCCAAGGCCCTTCTGGCTTTCATAGTTTCTGTTGAGAAGTCTGGTGTGATTCTGATAGGTCTACCTTTATATGTTACTTGGCCTTTTCCCTTGCTGCTTTTAATATATATATGTTCTGTAGATTTAGTGTTTTGACTATTACGTGGCATGAGGAGTTTCTTTTCTGGTCTAGTCTATTTGGTGTTCTGTAGGCCCTTTGTATGTTTATGGACATCTCTTTCTTTAAGTTGGGGAAATTTTCTTCTATGATTTTCTTGAAACTATTTTCTGGACCTTGGAGCCTGGAATCTTCTTTTTCATCTATTCCTATCATTCTTAGATTTTGCCTTTTCATGGCGTCCTTGATTTCTTAGATGTTTTGTGTTTGGAACTTTTCCAATTTTACTTTTTCTTTGAGAGATGTATCAATTTCTGCAAGTGTATCTTCAGTGCCTGATATTCTCTCTTCCATCTCTTGTATTCTGTTGGTGATGCTTACCTTTGTGGTTCCTGATCTTTTCTCCAGCTCCAGGGTTTTCTCAATTTGTGTTTTCTTTATTGATTCTAATTCTGTTTTCCTGTCTTGCACCATTTCCTTCATCTGTTTGAAGGTGGATTCCTGTCTTTCCATGATGGCCTCTATTTTTTTTGTTTGTTTCCTCTCTATATGCCGCCAATTATGTCTCTACTTGTGCCTCTATTTGTTTGGCTATATTTGCTTGTATTTCTTTGGGAGATTTGTTTGTTTCCTATTTATGTGCCTCTAATAACTGGATAAGTATAGCTTTAAAATAATTTTCCTGTGTTTCCAATGAATTAAAATATCCATTGATTTTTGGTGGTTGCTGGTGAGGTCATGATATCCTGATTTTTGTTGGATGTGTTCTTACACCAACCTCTAGCTCTGCTTATTTGTAACCTTTGCTGTTTTTTCCTGGGGTCTGCACTTTAAACTGGGTCTTTCTCTGGTGTCTGGGGTATTCCTCAAGGAAGATGAGACAGGTGCTCCAGTTTGAGAGTGTGTGTTGGTGTTTCAGATGTAGCTAAGGGAGGAAGGTCTCAGGTGCAGGTGCACAAGTATGGACGAGAAAGTCCAGGTGTGTGTGTAGAAATGTGACTTGAAGGACAGGGTGGTAGAGCCTGCTTATGACTGGAATATGCAGCTTAAGCACAAGAGGGGGGTGTGGGTGCTGGCGCTGTTCTCGGCACAATGTGCATACATAGGTGTCCTGAGCACCTCAGTGGCCTACAGGCCTGTTGTACTGTCCTCATGGTATTCAGATCTGCCTGGACTCCACTGGTAGAGCCACAGAACAGGGTCTTCAATGTTGAGAAAGCTGTCCCCCAAATCCCTATGTTGCTCACAGTTTGGTGTGGGTGGGAGGGATCCGATGTCTGGTTGCTAGTGTAGAGGGATCCTGGATCTGGGGTCTGTACACACTCACTTGAAGGTGCACTCACTCACTAGCAGGCCTAATTGGAAAGCACAGGTGTTCCCCATGTTCTCTACCCTCAGGTTTGAGCCTGTCAGGGCAAATGCGAGTGTAGGAGATCCATCAGCTCAGTGCTGCTGCAGCTGCAGAATTGGGAGGCTGGTACACTCACCCTCTGGGAGGCCCTGGGAAGCCTGTATAGCTGT